CTTATTTGCAAGAATGTGAGAAAAATGGGAATTCTTCTACATTGCTAATAAGCATGTAAATTGATGCAATAACTGTGGCAAGCTATTTGGCAATGTCTAATCAGGTTGAAGATGCACATACTCTGTCATTTAGCAGTTTCACTTGTAGGAAACATGTCTATAGAGTAATAGGAGGCTATAGCAAGAACATTAATTGCAGTATTTTTTGTAATAGAAAAAAAGAAAGTAACTTAAATGTCCATAAGAATGGGAGTGCATGAGTAGACTATGGCATATTCACATAATGGAATATTATATATTGATTAAAATGGATGTACATATGTTACAGTACAAACACGGATAAATCTAAAAAGTCAAAAGGTTGGGCGAAAAAAACAAGTTGTAGATTACACACAGTGTGATACAATTTATCAGGATGCAAAAATCACCAGAAAATGATTCATTTAACAAATCTTCATTTTGTGCCTAATTCTAGGTGCTTGGGATCAATGACCCAAACAGAGATCTTTAACCTCGAGGAATTTACATTTCAATGGGGAAAAACTAACATAAAACAATAAACATAATAAGTAAATAAATTTTATAGTGTGTTAGAGAGTGAAATAAGAAGTGAAAAGTTGGGATGTGGAGGTGCTGTTGGGAGTCTGAGGAGTGAGAACTAGTGAAATAGTAAATTTAAAAAGTCAGAAAATTAAGGGACAGGAGAGCTATAGAGTGATTGCCTGGCAGCATTAAGAGCCTGATGGAGGTTCATGGTCATAAAATTTAAACTGAAATTAGTCATGTGATTGTGTATTTTCCCCTAGCCAGGTTTAGGTTCTTTAGACTTTGCCAGAGTTACGATTTTGCCAGGGAATCCAATACAAAGTGAGAGAGGGGAAGGAGAGTGGAGGGTATATGTAAAAGGAGTGAATATAAAGATTAAGCATGACATTTGAGCTAAGGAAGGAGAGGAGAGAATAGGAAGCAAGAGATGATGAAAATCTGGTAAGTCTGGTGAGGTTGAAGAATAGTGGGGTCTGGGTACTGAAGGGAGTGAGATGTAAAAAAAGAGGTAATGATTATAGAGAGGGATGTTTGAAGTTGAGATTATAGAAGGGCTGCTATAATTGCTATGACAAGGCCTAGGGCATATCCATTTGAGTGAGTAGCTGAGATGGGGTCAAGGAAAATGTCATGGAGGAGAAATGTTTAAGGAGCTGAATAAGACAGTGTGTCAGCATGATCATTCTTAAGCTCACCAGGAATTAAGACAGGACTACTACCATTGAGAATGACCATGTTCCAGGAGCTAAAATCTTTGAGAAATAAGGGGGATAAAACTGAAGTTTGGAGATGACAATAGCACTTAAGACTAGTCAGTGACAAACTGTCAAAAGCTGTAAGTTTTCAGGGAGGTGGGAGAGGAGTGGTCTAAAGGCAAGAATGACATTTACCCAAACTTCAGTCTCTGTGGTACAATGGGGGGGGGG